TGTGTTTCAGGTTTGATGGGGTATTACTGAATGTGTTTAGGTCTGGTATGGTGCATTGAGCTGTGTTTCGGGTTTGATGTGGTAATTACTGAAGTGTGTTTCAGGTCTGGTATGGTAGCATTGAGCTGTGTTTAGGTTTGATGTGGTATATGAAGTGTGTTTCAGGTCTGGTATGGTAGCATTGAGCTGTGTTTCAGGTTTGATTTTGGTAATACTGAAGGTGTTTAGGTCTGGTATGGTAGCATTGAGCTGTGTTTCAGGTTTGGTGTGGTAATACTGAAGTGTGTTTCAGGTCTGGTATGGTAGCATTGAGCTGTGTTTCAGGTTTGATGTGGTAATATGAAGTGTGTTTCAGGTCTGGTATGGTAGCATTGAGCTGTGTTTCAGGTTTGTTTTTGGTAATATGAAGTGTGTTTCAGGTCTGGTATGGTAGCATTGAGCTGTGTTTCAGGTTTGATGTGGTAAAAACTAAAGTGTGTTTCAGGTCTGGTATGGTAGCATTGAGCTGTGTTTTCAGGTTTGGTGTGGTAATACTGAAGTGTGTTTCAGGTCTGGTATGGTAGCTTTTGAGCTGTGTTTCAGGTTTGATGTGGTAATACTAAAGTGTGTTTCAGGTCTGGTATGGTAGCTTTGGGAGCTGTGTTTCGGGTTTGATGTGGTTTACTGAAGTGTGTTTCAGGTCTGGTATGGTAGAAATTGAGCTGTGTTTCAGGTTTGATGTGGTAATACTGAAGTGTGTTTCAGGTCTGGTATGGTAGCATTGAGCTGTGTTTCAGGTTTGGTGTGTCACTCGTCACTCCATGAAAGAAAATGTTACAACTGCATACTGCCGGCACATCATCTAAGGGGACAAAGAAGACACAGACCAGCCTGAATATGGGAAACAAAAGAGGGGAGCCATACCTCTCCGGGAGATAGAGGTTTTTTAGTGTCGGGAAAGGGGAAAAAAGACTGGCAAGAAATGACAGTTATCTTACCCCAACTGAAAACACTTCAGGAGTAGAGGCACAGTCATTGGCTTCCACTCCAGAACAACGGATATTAGACCCAGCAAATAAAACCCCACAAAATTTCCCAATCAATATAACGACATTTGTCTTTGTAAGCATACAGGGTCTAAAGCCGTCAACAAACAAAATGCCTTACATCAAGGGACTGCTCACGGAGTCAAATGCAATGTTTGCAGTATTCACAGAGACCCATTTAAAGGATCATTTTGACAACGAAATATGGATCCCAGGTTAAAACCCTGTTCAGATGCGACAGACTAAAAGGCAACAAGGGGAAAGGGAGGTTGGCCTGTACGTCAGAGAGTCGCTCTTTTGCTCAGAACTACGAAACACCTCAATGATGTAGTTGAAGTTTTGGCGGTAAAGATTGAAAACCAAAACTTTGTCATTGTGGTTGTATACAAGCCACCAGCTGAAAATTCCCCAGAAATTCGGGAGCAGCTTTTGAAAATTGACCACTCTCTGGAAAATTCCCCCAACTCCTGCCCCAAGCATTTGCTAGTGGGAGATTTCAACTTGAGACACCTAAATGGAGGAGTGTAGCAAATAAATTTTAGAAGCCTGGGCTTCTCCTATGTCCATCCCTAGTCAAGACATTTATAGTATCGGAGGCGATATCCTCACTTTCATCTAACAAGTGAACCGGTGATCCTACTACCCCGCTTTCGAGAGTAGTATCACTGGTTTCTAATCCCACATGAATATCACGAGACATTGCCTCATCTGAACTGTTGAGGGGCTTTTCTGACTTTACAGGAAGAGGAGCTGAAAAACTTATGTCCAAACTTTGGTGATGAAAGGTCAACCTCAGGGAAAGGGGACTGGCACCTTTTACATTACCTATTAGTTGGCTGCAGACCAACCTGTGAACCATTTAGACCTAATGTAAGAACGGATGGTAGGAAAAGTGTCTGTACGGCCCAAGTAGTCTGAAAGGATAGAGAGGAAATGAGTTTCTTTAAGGTTAGGGAACAGCTTATCAGAAACGACTAACATGTGCATTCCAGTGTCTCGTAAATGGTAGATACATTAAGTCCATTAAATGTTCTCGAGCAGAAGGGGCCTGGTCATTACAGTCTTTAAAACATTTCCAACTTTTTTTCACTCTCTCAGAACAATCGGGAGTTTATGTCCCTTAACAGCACATAAATGACAAAAAAGGAATAAAAGACGTCAGTTTACTTTACCACTAGAGGCTTTGATTTCTTAAGATCTGGTGAACCCTTGCGCTTAGGGTTCTATCCCTTTAGGTCTTTATAGGAATTGTGAGCCTCAGCATACAAGTCAGCGGCCTCAGCAACTTCCTCAGCTTTAAACAGGGTTTCGTTCTCTAATGAATGTTCTATTGGTGAGGAAGAGCTGTCAGGAAACTGGTCAGCAACCATGAAGTCTCTAAGAGATTCATAACTGTGATCAATTCTGAACTCTCTATCCAAAAGTCGAACAACGAAGAGTGTTTCCTGTAACTGCTGAAAGTTTCTGGCCAGGCTGTAAGGTGGCATACCTGAAATCTTTCCTATAAGAATTTGTGGTCTTTGGTATGCTTTAAGGATTGCCTTCTTAAGTAGGTTATAATTACATATGATATCCCGCGACAAAGTTGCATAGATATTCAAAGCTGCACTGAAAATAACATACCTAACCTGGTTTGCCAGGTGTCAGATGGCCATTCAAGAGGGTTTGGGGGGAAAAAAAGGGGGGGGGGGGGGGTGGATAGCGGGAGCTGACACTGAAACCCCACCTTAACAAGCAGGGCTGGCAATCAAACTATCGTCACCATATATTCGCTCGCTACTCCTATCTGTTGAACTTTTCCCTCACAAACTGTATTACTGAATGTTTCCCCGAGTGTTCCTTTGTGTTGTGTTACTCTTTGTATATATTTTTATCACCAGTTTGGGTATCTACCAAGTCAAACCCATCATCGATATGAAAATTTCTTGGTCGTTCCCTATTGTGTACCTGGTCCACCAGACGTGCATGTACCTGGTCCACCAGGCCGTTGATGTGTCTCGTCCACCAGACTGTTGATGTACCTGGTCCACCAGACCGTTGATGTCTCTGGCCCACCAGACCGTTGTTGTCTCTGGTCCACCAGACTGTTGATGCCTCTGATCCACCAGACCGTTGATGTCTCTGGCCCACCAGACCGTTGATGTACCTGGTCCACCAGACGTTGATGTATCTGGTCCACCAGACCGTTGATGTGACTGATCCACCAGATGTTGATGTACCTGGTACACCAGACGTTGATGAACGTGGTCCACCAAAACTGTTGATGTGTCTGGTTACTAAGCACCCAGGTAATAATGACCTGTTGACCTGGTCGTAAAGGGACTTGGAACGAAAATAAACAGCTGTATTTAAATTGCAATTTCCTTCACCAAATATGAATATAGGTAAATACACTTATGTACACTATGTACAAGAGTTTTGAAATATAAGTGTACCATGGTAATCAAAGGCAAAGACCGAGAGAGAGAGAGAGAGAGAGAGAGAGAGAGAGAGAACTGTGAGCAACCAGCGGCTGTATGAGTCTGGCAAGAGCTGACCGTGAGTGATACATCGCCCCAGCAATTGTCAGACCCACCTTGTGATTAGTGAACCAAGGTACTGATTTAACGATGGGGCCCTGTAAGATCGTTAAACCCTTAGCACCCGGGTCACTGATTGGGAGGCAGCCTATATGGGTGTGTGTACATACTCCAATGGAAGTGTAACCTACTCTTTGCATGCCACACCCCTACCCCAATAGAACTTTAATGGCCAGGACCATGGGACCAGGACCACCTCCATGGGTAGATTGCCACCTGGCAAGGTACAATAAGGGAATTCCCTTTCCTCTCAACCATCCAACTCATTAGATAGAGCTCAACTTTTCTCTAGACATAAGTCAAAACTCTAAAATTAGAGTGAGATGGCAGACAGTAGGGCTAACGCAGGTTCAAGATACTGCAGTCAATAGCAGAATATCCCTCACTAAAAAAAAAAAGAAAATACCATTTAAATTAAAACATTATATGTATACAAAGGAAGGGGGGAAAGAGCTATTCTTCTCATATTGTTCGTAACACATCCTAACTAAATTTACATCGGGAAAGAGTATCAGCCAGCTTATTATCCTTGCCAGCAATATGTAATATACATAAATTATATGGTTGCAGCCTGAGACTCCATCTTATTAATTGTGTGTTGTGGTTCTTTATAGTATTGAGGGAAACCAGAGGGTTGTCACTGCAGACTGTGACCACTTGGGATGATTGCCCCACGCAGACTTCTTTTTCAGTTGAGGAGTAGATGTCTGGTGAGGTTGATTTTGGCCGAGAGGTAAGCCAAGGCTGTATGCACTCTTCCCAGTTTGTAGAAGTATGCCCACACCCTGATTCACAAGCATCAACCTGTAATGTAAATGGTTATGAGAAATCAGGAGACAGAAGAATGGGTGCTGTACAAAGAATATGCTTTGCTTTAGTGAAAACATCTTGGGACTGTAGGGTCCACTGAAACTGGGTTTTCTGACTGGTAGATTGGCCAAAGGATGACTTAGACAAATTAACAGTTAATTGGAAATTCTGAAATGCTGCAAAGAGAGCTTAAGCCTAGACATATATTGGTCCCAAGTATCTGACACAAACTACAGTATCATCTAGGTAAGTGGCCGTGCCTTCAAGTCCTTTAACAGCCTGATGGATCAGCTTTTGGAATGATGCCAGCGAGTTTTTCATTCCAAAGGGGGGTTACTGTATAGTGATAATGACCTCGAATTACGAAAGCAGAGATTTCCTTTACCTTATCTGTCAAAGGTACCTGATAGTAACCTTTAAGAAGGTCTAACTTGGACATGAAGTTTGATTACGTCATCCAAACGTGGCAGAGGGTAAGATCTGGAATAGTGACCTCATTCATCTTGCGGTAGTCTGTACACATTCGAAAACCTCCATCAGACTCTTAAACAAGGATGCAAGTGAAGCCCATGGACTAGATGACTCCTCCACTAACCCATGTT